CCGGGTACAAAGTCGCGATATGCGATTGAGATTGTACGTAGACCGTTACACGCCATTGGTTCTATCACGTTCTTAACCAGACGTTCTTGCATCTCTCTCGTGAATTTTTCCAGATGACCGTCGCGACCGTAGATAAAGGCACATCTGTAATTGAAAAGGAAAGAGAGAGGAAAAAAAAAGAAGAAAAAAAAGGAAAAAAAAAAAGAAAAAAAAAAAAGACGAGAGAGAGAGATATAAAAACAAAGTAAACATAAGCAATTTCGTTTATTTAAATTTGATTTTGTTTTGAAGAATTAAAATCCCTTTGAAATCGATTTAACTTTGAAAATTGATATTATTTTATAAACGACTCTATTCACAAAAAAAAAAAAAAGAAGAAGGAAATTTCTTTACTTTAATAATAGGTTAAAATTGAAATTGATGTTCTCACTCCAGCCCCCCCCTCCACCACCCCGCCCCTTACTCATATATTTTATCCCCACCCCCCACTCTATTATTTGCAAATAAGATAGAACTCTATGGTGTTAATTTAAATGTTAGAGATTAGAGATTAGAGAGAAGATAAAAATAATAGAGAACGTACTTCTTCATGATGATCTCGGAAGCGCCCTTGGTGAAAAGCCTATATCCACCACCTTCCCTTGGAATAACAGTAGACATGCTCTTTCTAACGCTATTGAATGTATAGACCCGCGTGAAAGTTTCCTCAGGGTGGTCATCTCTAACAGTTTGATATTTTTCGCCCAGGGCCACTACGAATCCAAGTAAGGCACATTCGGTTTTGTTACCGACTTGCATCGGCAATTCTGAAGGGTCTTGCGAGGGCATGATTCTGGACGTGTACGCCGAATTAATGGAGATGGCTTGTATTAATAAGTTTCCAACGTGGCTCGGGATATCGGAAAAACTTGGAACCGTCTTGCTCATTTTCTCACATATGTAGGATTCTACCACTGTCATACGATTGGTCGTCAGGGTTCCGGTTTTATCCGAACAAATGGCGGTAGCGTTACCCATCGTTTCGCAAGCATCCAAATGCCGTACCAAATTGTTGTCCTTCATCATTTTCTACAATCATAGTTTTACGAAAAAAGAGAAAAAAAAAAAAAAAGAAAATATTGTTAAAAAGCTGCACATCGTTCGCTTGAATCGGCAAAATCGCCGATCGAATAAATTATTGCAATTTGAAAGATTTATTAATATTATTAAAATATTAAATATCAATGAATACTATAAATTCATTTCCTTTAAAAATGAATCACCACTTTATCAGAATGTATAACTTTTAAAATGTCAAATTAATGTAACAAATTGATTAAAGAAAAAATTTCTTAACTAAAAATTTAACATTATTCGTATAAAAATTAATGACTTTTGAAAATTACTATACACACTGATTGATGATTAAATTAAAGAGAGAAAGAGAGAGAGAAAGAGAAAAAAAAAAAAAAAAGAAAAAAGAAAGAAGTCAAATGAGAGGAGAAATAAAAAAAAAATATTTAATGAATATAAATATATAAATGATAAATAAAAACATAATAAAAAAATCAAATAATTGTGTTAAAAGATTGGACGTATTAAAAAAGGTAATAGTTAATAATAATTTTCGTCGACTCTAAAAAAAAAGAAAAGAAAAGAAAAGAAAAGAAAAGAAAATAAAATAAAATGAAATGAAATAAAATAAAATAAAATAAAATGAAATGAAATAAAATAAAATAAAATAAAATAAAATAAGAAAGAAAAGAGAAAGATAAAAAAATAAAAATGTAAAAAATTCAAGTTACGCGCGCACGTATTCATACACATATATATTAGATTGATCCAAAAGTTGAACGTAGCTGTTAAAAAAGTTTGAAAGAGAAAACTTTTGGAACGATTTAATATATATATATATATATTCGTGAACGTGTTAAATATTCTAATGCAATATAAATGAAAAAATGATTTAATTAACCTTGACGGAATAAGCAAGCGATAAGGTGACAGCCAGAGGAAGACCTTCGGGTACGGCAACGACGAGGACAGTAACACCGATAATCAAATGCCGTACCAGATCACCGGCATAAGTGTTCTTCCACGGCTTTCCATCGATTACGAACGTCGAGACGCAAAATTGAATGATTAGAATGATCACGGTGAGTACTGCTATGGTCGAGCCAGCATAACCGATTTGTATCGCTAACTTCGTTAATTTAGCTTGAAGAACGCTCTTCTCCTTTTTAGTAGACTCTCCCCCACCTCCTTGTCCACCTCCGCCATGATGATTTTCTCCACCCTCGTGTTTACCACCCGTTCCGCCAGTTCCAACAGCATGACTGTTCCCAGTGATTTCTGCTCCTTCGTCCCCTTCGTTTCATAATACATACAGATATTATTTATTCAAATTAAATTAAATTGAGATCCATTGGTTTTCTTTTTTTTTTTTTTTTTTCTTTTTCTTTTTTTCATCAAAGAGAAACTGATACTTATATTTATTTTCTCTAATAACTATCGAAGTCGTTCAACTTTTACGCTCTTCATTTGTAAGACGTGATTATTCTTTTTTAGATTTATATCTAAATAAATATATATATATATATATATATATATATATATATATATATATATATATATACACGTATGCATTTAAGTATATATGTATATATAACAGGATGAGGCTTAGAAATATCCTAGACGATTTAAAAAATCTATTACTCCTCCATCGTTATTCAAGAATATATTCTGAATAAAAAAAAAAGAAAAAAAAAAAATGTACCAACGTTCGACAAATTAGAGCGTAAAATTTAAACTCTCGATAGAAAATTTTAATTCTAATTAATTAAATTATAAAATACTATATTATATCGAGCTAGTTATTAATAATCGGAATTAAGAGGGGAAAAAAAAAAAAGGAAAGAAAGAAAGAAAGAAAGAAAGAAAGAAATTGGAAAAAGCTGGGATTCTATAAAAGTAAAGGTAAGGTAAATAAAAAAAAAAAAAAAAATAGTATTTTGTAAAAAGGCAAAAGCACGACACGACACATTGGAAAAATACATGAACAAATAATGAAAATAGGGATTATCATCATCATCATCATCATCATCATCATCATCATCATCATCATCATCATCATCTTAGAATGCAATAAAAAAAGCTAAAGGTAAATTCTGGAGTTACTAATAATCTCAAATGCATAAACCACTGGCAACAAAACACTCAGAGATTACGGTAACAGATAAGCAAGAATGATAACAAATTAGATCGATTTTTTGCTGTTTCTTTTTTTTTCTTCTTCTTCTTCTTCTTTTTCTTTTCTCTTTTCTTTTTTCTTTTTTACCTTACTTCTGACAATGATATTTCTTCAAATAAAAAAAAAAAGAAAAAAAAAAAAAACAAAAAAAAAGAAAATTAATTTGCATAATAATAAAGTGACATATATATATCTATGCATGTATATAATTTATTTAGATAAGAAATAAGATTAAAAGAAGGCTTGTAGTGTGCAGAAATGAAGAAGGTAGAACGTGAAATTACTAGAAAAGAAAACGAACTTAAAGAGATAAACATATATATATATATATGTATGTACGTATAAGTATGTCAAATATATCAGACATATCTCAAAATTATATTTAAAAGATGTCAATCGATATCTTAACATCGATTACATCGGCATAATTGAATATGATTAACAATAAATATATGTATATATATATATATATATTATTATTATATTGTGTGTAATCACCTGGTAATGACTTCTTCTTCCGCTGCTTTTTAGCCTCTAGATAAAAAAATGCATGCAAAACAAAATTGATTAGCAATCTATCTAAAAGTATCGTATATGCCAATGACAATTTGTGCCACATTCTATACTGCATTGGTTTTTTTTTTTTATTTTTTTTTTTTTATTTTTTATTTTTTTTTTTCGTTTTCTTTCTTTTCCCTTTCTTTTCTTTTTTTTTTTTTTCATTCTATTTCTTTTTTTTTTTCTTTTCTTTTCTTTTCTTTTTTCAGACAATACCAAAGAAATGATTTCAAAATTTTACAAATGCAGTACAACAACCTAGAAGATATGTGTGTGTGTATGTTTTTGTTCTTCTTTTTGAATACAAATTTTTTGTTGTAATTCTTCTTATAACAAAAAAAAAAAGAAAAAAAAGAAAAAAAAAAAAAAGAAAAAGAAAGAAAAAAAACGAAAAAAAAAAGAAAATATAAATAAATATCATGGATGCATCTTCTAAGTTGCACATTTACAGGGATATCAATCGTATAATAAAATATTATCATATAAAGAGTGATAATTTTTTCTTTCTGTTTTTTTTTTTTCTTTTCTTTTCTTTTTTTTTTTTTTTTTGTTTTTTGTTTTTGGTTGTTTTCTTTTTCTTTTTTTGTCTCTTTAAAAATGCCTGCAGAAAAATCTGATAAAACTATAAAAATAATATGAAACATATATTATATATTTCAAAAAATGATTTGATATATGTTAAAAGAATGAAATACAAATATTATAAGAACATTCTATGAAGACAAATGTTACTAATAATTATATGATCTAGAATTGTGCTAAGATGAATTGAAATAACATATGATCACACAATATATGCGATATACACTAATGGAAAATAGTTCTTGCGCATACAAACAAACATTTATTTGTATAACCACGTAACAAAGATCAAAGTTATATATAGGATATAAGGACATATTCTCTAATTAGAATATTTTAATCAAATGAAAAAAAAAAAAAAAAAAAAAAAAAAAAAAGATTTTCCTCGAATTACACAAATATATATATATATACTTTAATCTATTTCAAGGATCATAGGATTTACCCTATGTATTTTAGTTTAATATATTTAAAAAAAAAAAAAAAAAAAAAAAAAAAAAAAAAAAAAAAAAAAATAGAGACAATAAAGAAGTGTATAAAATTAAAAGATATTTATATTTAACTTCAATTTATATGTAATATTCATAATGATTAAAAAAAGAAAAAAGTTTAATTAAAACGTTTATCTATATACTCAATAAATTTACAAATGAATATTTATAAGAGAATTGAGCAAAATATTGGATACTCCGATTAATTAGTAATTAGTAAATGGTATATAAAATTCATTTGACCCCTTAAGTGGCAAAAATTGATCGTATATCTATTAATCACATAACATCTTCAAAGTTTGTACAAATTAACTTAGTGGGGGGAGGAAACAAAAAAAGGAAAAAAAAAAAGAAAAAAAAAGAGAAAGAAAAATGGGAAAGCGAATATATAAGTTAAACATGCTAAAGATAATCTTGTTCATGTTCGATTTTTTTTTTTTTTTTTTTTTTTTTTTTGTTATTAAGGGAATACCTTGTACTTGCTACTTAAGGAGTTAAAGGTATTTGCAAGTACATGCCAAAGAAAACGGGGGCACAAGTTGATAGTCATGTAATTCATAATAAAAAATTCTCACACCAATTCAACTGAAAACCATGCCTAACACTGTACTTTCTCTACACTCATTTTGTGTATTTGGAAATATCATGCCTTGAAATAATAATCCCACTACTTCTTCCCGATAAATTTCGATTTTTTTTCCTTTATTTATTTTTTTTTTTTTTTTTTTTTTTTTTTCTTTCTCAAATGTATCACATCTCTAAACGAAATGTATTCAAATAATTTTATATATATATAAATCATTTCGTTTTTGATTTGATATAAGAAGTAGCGAGTTATAGATTCACTGAATTATCAAAGCAGTACAACCTCGCAAAAAATATGTAACTAAATTTACCTTACATAGACATATGTAATCTTACAAGTGGTCAATGAAATATGAGACTTCATTTATATATATATATATATATATATAAATACATATATATATATAAATTTTGTTTTTATTACAAAGAGTCTAAAAATATTATATAGAATATATATAGTAAAGAATTTCTATTAGATAATTTCTTTTTTTCTTTTTAAGAGGTTACACTACCCTAACAATTAAATGACTCTAGATAAGTGGCACAATTTGAAGTTATAAATAAATATATATATATATATCTATATATATATATGTGTGTGTGTGTGTGTGTGTGTGTGTATATATATTAATCACATACCTTTTTTCATTTTCTTTATTTCTTGTTCTTGCTGATCAACGGCAGCACCCAACAAGGTGAAGATTATACCAGCCTGGGAGTTGACACCTACCGCTGTTACCAACATTTTTCCAGATCCCTCCATCACGTGAGTGCCTTTTTTTTAAATCAAAACAAAGTAACGACATCAATCTTGACATATTAATTATCTATGTAAATATCTTGAAAAAATGAATTACCTGAAAGTACCATAGGATCGAATAATTCTCCTTTCTTTACATGATCCGATTCACCAGTTAAACTGGATTCATCCACTTTAAGATCGTTGCTTTGTATAAGTATACCATCTGCTGGTAGCAGGTCTCCATATTTTATCTACATTATTAATTGTATAATTTAACAAATACCTTTTACTCATTTTAATAACATTTCATTGAATAAAAGAGAGTTAAAGTCTCTTGACTAAAATCTTTAAATTGTAATATATAAATATATCATAAATTGAAAATATAAAATAGTCTAAGAGTTAATATACATACCTGACATATGTCACCTACAACGATATCAGATACTGAAATCTGTTTGACTTCTCCTTGTCTTATAACAGAGAATTTATGTTCTCCTTCGATTCGACTTTGAAGACCCCTAAACTGTCTTTCTTTGGAATAGTCATTGAATGCCGTCACTAACACCACCACAATGACAGAGATCAATATAGCAAGTCCTTCAATCCAACCATATTTTCCTTCATCCTCTTCTATCGATGAAACTGAAATAATAATTATGAAAGAAATTGTAAAGATTTATAATTTATTTATTTTTTTTTTTTTCATTTTATTTGACATTGAAAAATAAAATACTAACCACTCTCTTCTTCGTCAGCTGGTTGATAAAAACTAAGACCTAACGAAACCAAAGCTGCTATTTCCAAGATGATCAAAGTAACATCTTGTAAAGCTTCCCATACTAATTGTAAAAATGTTTTAGGTGGCTTTGGAGGAATCATGTTGGAGCCAAATGTATCTCTCCTATGTTGAATGTCTGCTGTCGACCCACTGAGACCTATAACGATAAAGAAATGATAAACATTAATGTATATATAATAGAAAGGATAAGATAATTGATATCAACAGGTATAACATATTGAAATAAATCTTACCTTCGCTGGGTGAAGTATATAACTTTTTACATATCTCTTGCACGCCACCATGGCTATTGAGCTTATTGACACCTTCACGACCTCTGTGCTCCATGAGCTCACGAAGTTGCTTAAGAGTAATGCCATATTGGGCTGGTCGTCCATCTATCGTCGCCATTTCGTCTTAGTTACCGTGGTTGGCCTAAGCCAACTCTAATATTCTTCTCTTAAGCTAGCAGCTTTTATTGATCCCTAACGTCACTGCTCCACTGTCCTCCAAATAATCGGAGGACAAACAGCTGAAACAGAATGATATACAAATCATAAATTACATTTCCTTCATTTAATCTTCAAATAGAATTAAACCGTATGTTATTAGAATTAAAATATTATTATCATTTGGATTATACAATTAAAAATTCATATAAATAGAACGTAAATATATTATTTATATAATGAAGAAAATATTATTGTAAAAATGTAAACACAAATAGCTCATAACAAATGGGGAAATTGAACAAAAAAAAAGGGAGAAATTCTAAATGAAATAATCATTATAATACTTAATAATCATTAAACGAAGCTATGATATTAATCAGAAAATTCATTAATCTCTTGTAACGTATAAAAATACTTTGTCGTAGCTTCGACATATTCCTTAGTCCTATATGTTCGTCTGTCAGTAAAGCCGACATCGTTGCAAAGAGGTTATGTGTCCCATTACAGCAATCCTTTCAAATGAAAATTTCCATAACAAAAGAATGAAAGGTGGGTCATTGTCGTAGAATAGTTAAATATAACGACGTCGTTTAACAAATGGTATTTGTTTTTCGACGACTAAATACAACAATGTTAATGTAAAGAGTAAAAAGAAAAAAAACGAGAGAGAGTGAGTGAGAGAGAGAGAGAGAGAGAGAGAGAAATTTACCGAGCGACGATACTTTCCAATTCGACGCCGTACCAAAGCCACGAATGCCGCATACGAAGTTTTAACGTCTATCAATGTCTCGTATTTCGAAACCTCATCTTTTTCCTGTCAATAACGCACGCAGAAAACTCATCGATAACCAGCGTTCCCGGTCCGGTCACCGAAGAAAGGTGTGTTAAGTAGAGTAAGCCATTAACAAAGTGGTCATCGATTCGTATCGCCCTCTACTGGAGCGCACCGGTACTTCATAGTTCTTCTTCTCCTTCTTCTTCTTTTTTTTTTCCCCCTCTCCTTCAACCATTTAAACCACGCTTGAACATATTCGTTAAATCTTTCGCCGTTGCGAATTAAGTGTGATCTTCGATTTCGATATCTATCGATATCGACAAGTGACATGTTTATTTATTTCTTTTCTTTTTTCTTTTTTCCTTCTTTTATAACAAACTATAGTAAGTTAATTAAATATTCACAATTCTCGTTTTCGATTGGGCGAGAAAGAGAGAGAGAGGGGGGAGAGGGGAGGTCTAAGAATAAATTATTTCTATTAAAACTTATAAAATTGACGATTGAATGAAGATACTGAGAGTCGATAGTTTGATAATTCGATTAATCGAAAATTTGTCGTTAAGAATATTAAATCGTAATAATCGAATATTCCAGATGGAAAAAACTTTTGTTAGAAATAAAGAAAAAAATGGTCATTAATATTTTTCACTTCCGTCGGATCGTTTCAATTTTCCACATAGATAATATCATTGTTCTTCGATACTCGAATTGTTCGACCGTGACCAAAGTGTTGTTCTCTCTCTCTCTCTCTCTCTCTCTCTCTCTCTCTCTCTCTCTCTCTCTTTTTTTTTTGCCTTTTATTCCTTTTTTTTTCCATTTTTCTTTTTTTTTTTTGTCGACATAGAAGATTGCTTTCATCCGCGAATGACGACCTACTTTGTGTGCACGCACGACTCGTAACGGAAGGAAAATGTACATAACTTTTGTCAAGAAAATTACCAATTGCATTCGACACAAAAAGGTAAGAGGGAATGTAACGTAATTAAAAAAAAAAAAAAAAAAAAAAAAAAAAGAACGAAAACAAAAAAAAGAAGAAGAAGAAGAAGAAGAAGTAAAATGAAATCAAATCAAATTTGTAAGAGTGAAAAAATACTGACTGATAGTTTATTTTTGTATTTCCTCTCTTTCTCTCTCTCTCTCTCTCTCTCTCTCTACGCACACACAGTCAAACGTTTGAGAGATATCCTTCGAACGAGAAAAATCGCGGTTTCGAGTTGCGACGTATAACGGAGCGATTGTTGATAAAAATCTTCCGCCATAATAGCCGAGACCGAAAGAAAAAGAAAAAAGAAAAAAAAGAAAAAAGAAAAAAAAATATATTCCCCGGTCTCTTTAACGTTGCAATAACGAAACAACGAGGCAACGACGAAATAACGAAATATGATTGAGAGAAATAGTTATCCTTCTCGTTCGTGATCGCTTAGAGAATGAAATTCGTTTCACGTATTGAAAAAAGAAAAAAAAAAAAAGAAAAAAAAAAAAATAAATAAATATATAAAAAGGAAAAAAATAAAATATATAATACTCTTTTTCGATTCACAAAGGAAAAAGGATTAATATTTCTTGATCAAAAAAAATTATTCTCTTTTATATAGATATATATATATATATATATATATATATATATGTGTGTGTGTGTGTATGTGTGTGCGTGTGTATATATATATATGCGTGTGTGCGTATATATACATATATTGAAAGGAAAATTCTGTTCAGTTTTGATTATTTTTACAAAAGCAAATATGTAATGATACTAACAATAAACGTTCGAAGAGAGCACAGATGTATAGTATCTTAAAGAATACTTAACGTTCTCTCTCTCTCTCTCTCTCTCTCACACACTCTCTCTCTCTCCCTCTCCCTCTCTCTCTCTCTTGGGCTGTTTCTTTCTCACGGTGTTAGTTAGTTAGTTGGTTAGTTAGTTCTATTTTCGATAATGCATATCGAATGGGATTGGTAGTGCAAAATCCTCCCACGAAGCTGGAGGAATACAATGAATACGAGGATAGGAACGAATCAATGACTCACTTAACGTTCAGGAGACAAAGAATATATATATATATATATATATATATATATCTAGAAGAATGTTGATTCACACTGCAAATAAAATTTTCAAGGTATTACGAGCAACCAAGCGAAAAAATCTACACGCACATATATATGTTATAAATATATATTTCTGTATTTTTAATAGAAGAAAAAAAAAGAAAAAAGAATTATATATATATATATATATATATATATATATATATATATATTTCTATCTATCTGTCGAAACATATACATACATACATATATATATAATATCTAAAACTATAAGTTTCATTTAAATTATATAGAATTTTCTCTCTCTCTCTCTCTCTCTCTCTCTCTCTCTCTTTTTATTAAAACGTGTATGTATATATATATATATATGTGTGTGTATGCATATAGATATGTATGTATGAGTACGTATGGTTCCTACCGTATAAAATGTTCTGTCAGTCTTTCTCTCTCTCTCTCTTTCTCTCTCCTTCTCTCTCTCTCTTTCTCTCTCTCTCTCTCTCTCTCTCTCTTTCTCTTTCTCTCGCTCTTTCAATATCTATCTCTATCTCTTTCTATCCCGTGTTTAACCCAATCCAGTATGGGTGGTGTACTAAAGTCGAACTTTCGTATGAGATCGCTAAAAGCTCCCAATATTGGTCAGGTTGCGCACGCATCCAAGCTTTAGCAAAAGCATCATCAGCAGAAGCGGAAGCAAGAGAGTTACTTTTGTGTCCGTTTGAGTTACATACACCACCACAATCACTACCACCACCACCACCACCACCACCACCACCACCACTACTACCACCATCGTCGAAGTTTTATTAATACTACCAAGCAACCCTACTGTTTATATGTGTTTTCCAGTTACCTTGTATACTGCTTATCTCTCTCTGTCTCTCTCTCCTCTTTTTCTCTCTCCTCTCTCTCCCTTTCTCTTTCTCTTTCTTTCTTTTTATCTCTCTCTCTCTCTCTCTCTCTCTCTCTCACACGTCAATCATCGTTGCAATTAACCCGGCCATGAGCGTTGTAGGCCAACGTTGTACAAATAATTTCGCGGTTCCCAAATAAAATAAGCGTACGTGCGGTAGTATAATATGTATATGTATATGTATATGTAATATGTATATACATAATATATATGTATATATATGTATATGTATGTATTTATACGTACTATATCGGTGTTAAACGACACGTTTTCTAGACTAGTATTATACACTCCGTTACGTTGTTATTATTATTATTATTTTTTTTCCTTTTCTTTTTTTTTTTTTTTTTTTTTTTTATTTTATTATATACATCTTTCTATTTCGCGAACATGTCGGACACGTTCGTTAACGTTAACGTCATCTTTATTAAAAACAACAATATCGCGTCGACCCGAAACCGGTGGAGGCGTGTTTTTTCTTTCTTTTTTTTTTTTTGAACACTCCCCCCCTCCCTTTTCCCAAAAGAAACGTTTTGCGAAAGTGATTTCACGATTTCTTTTCTTTCTTCTTTTTTTTTTTTTCTTTCTTTATTCTTCAACAATCCGTATCTTCTTTTCGTATTTACGCTTACGCATGTATGCTTTTACTCGTTATCGCATAATTGAGGAAAAAAAGAATTATATAGACCGAGTGAAAGTTAGGTGAAAGGAAGGAAATCTTATTATACATTTTTGCCAATTTACATCCTCTTGAGAAATAAAAAAATTCGTAATGAAATAATAACACGCACGCGTTTATGCTTCAAAATTAATTATTATAACAATAGAAAAAGAAAGAGAGAGAGAGAGAGAGAGAGAGAGAGAGAGAGAGAGAGAAAGGGAAAGAGTGAGAGATAAACGAAATCAACGCGTTATCAAAGAAAAAAAAAAAATTGGAGTTATCAAAAGTAAAACAATAATGACGAAGAGTAGAAGTTGAGAAATAACAAAAATTTAGCAATGAAATAGTAACGTAATTGTACCTATGTAAAAAACTATTACGATGTAGAGAAAGAAAGAGATATAACGTAAATATAGCTGCTTAGAATTATCAATAAATTAATAACAACAACAATAATAATAATAATAATAATAATAATAATAATAATAATAAAAAAAAAGAAGATAAGAAAGAACGGAATATAAATTTTAATAAAAATAGAAATAATTAATAATGACGAATATAATAAAATGAAAACATAATATATATATATATATCACAATAAAAGGATTAATAGAAAGAGAGAGGAAGAAAGGAAGAGAGAGAGAGAGAAAGAGAGAGATAATATACAGACGAAAATAATATC